ACCCTCCTGACTCCTGACATGATCACGGAGTTTGAGACCCTACAGCGGCTGGTGCAAGAGGAAAAAGCTGAGCCTGAGGCAGAGACCTCTAGGACATCTAGACTGACCCAGGGGGGACTTCTGGCCCAGGAACTATGTTCCAAGTCAAGTAAGTCACCCCCATTCTGCCCCGCCTATGGGTGCCATCTTCAAAGCCCAGCAGAGGCGCAGAAGTACTGGGGCCTCATAGTCTGGGTTATGCTACAGTAGGAGTCTGCACCCGGGATCAGGAACTCCTGCACACGTGGGCCTCAGGAGACTGAGGAGCTGGGGACTCCTTCCTGTCTCCAGTATCTGGTGCCCCAAATTCTTCTTCTGGCCAGTCCCTGACCTCTCCTCGGTACCCTCCCACTTTTCTCTGCCTAGAGTCTCCAGGATACTCTGGCCCCGTGACCCGCACCATGGCAAGGCAATTGAGTGGTCTCATGCACACTCTGGGGATCCCACCTGGGCCTGACCGCACCCCAGCCCGGGCCTCCCGACGGCCCACGGAAAAGAAGAGAAGGCGGACACCAAGCCCCTCAGAGCCAGACAGCCCTCTGGCCCCAAAGCAGGAGACCAAGCGCCAACGCCAGTCCTTCCTGCCCTGCCTGAAGAGAGGGTCTCTACCTGAGGCCCAGCCTGCCTTCGGGCCCAGCACACCCAAAGGGTGCCAATTCCCTCGCTTCTGCTCGGCCACGGTCATCAAAAGGCGGGTGCCCCTGGGCCCTTCTGCCATGCAGAACTGCTCCACTCCTCTGGCCCTCCCTGCCCGAGACCTCAACGCCACCTTTGACCTCTCTGAGGGGCCTCCTTCAGAGCTTGATTTCCCTGAGTGCGTTGGCTGGGAGGAAGTCCCCCCGTCGCTGACCAGGCTGGACCGTCCCTTCATCCCCAGGTGGGTCTCCAACCCTCCCAGCAGGGCACAGGGGCAGCCACAGGCAATGGTGCTGCCAAAATGTGGATGACCACCTGACCCAGGGCGGGATGCAGGGTCACAATCAGCTTCACTCCCCAGGGCCAGGTTGTCACTTCTCTGGGGCCCTACCTTGTCTGTCAACACCTCAATCTGCCAGCGCTGTGCTGCTTTGTGACATGCTCATGCATAGCTAAAGGGACCCCAGCTCAGGAAGAGTCAGCAGGGAACAGGAGCTAACGAGAGGAGCCAGCGCCTTCTGTTCTTCTGCTTCGCCTGTGCCCTGTCTGAGTTCTGTGTCCCACTGAGAACTATGACAGGACTTCAAAAAGTTTGTGAAAAAATTGAAATATGAGTTTATTTTGGTATAAAAACAATTTGAAATCTAGGCATTAGTTTTTCATAATATGCATTTTCCATGCACTTTTTGAAGACCCCCCTTGTACTTATTTCTGCCACTTCTACCCCTAGATTTTGCCCTCGAGCCCAGCATCCAGCATGGGGAAGGGGGTCCTCAGAAAACCTATTCACTATTTTCCAACAAGACGATGAATAAGTGTTTTCCACCCACATAGCAGGGTAGGGAACAGCGACTAGCTCAGCACAGCCCAAGGCCAAGAACAAGCGGCAGCCTGACCTGGACACGTGAGACAGGGGCCGGCAGAGCGCCACCCACACCCACCCCTCCCACAGCCCCTGAACCAACTCTCAGTGACAGGCACAGAGCTGGGCAGGTGGAAGGGTGAAATTGTTTGAACTCTAGTTCCCCGGATGAGCCAGAAACTGACATCTGGATGTTCTCCCAGAACAGGGCTGTCACTCAGCTGTCAGCCCAGGCCGAGTGACGCAGGGAGCAGAATCTACCTCTTTGTAGGAGAAAGCGCAGAGGTCATCTTGTCCAGCCAGCCCCTACCTCAAGCTGGAGGCTGGAGGGAGGCAGTAGCTGGCCCAGTCTGGTTCCCTGCTGAGCTGCCTCCCTCCCTCCCTCCCTCCCTCCCTCTCCAGTGGCCCCATGCTGCTGTTCACCACCAAGGGTCCCAAGCCAACATCTTCCCTCCCTGGGACTTCAACCTGCAAAAAGAGGCGACCTATGAGGTGAGTTTTGGGAAGTGTTGGAGGAGGGAGGAGAGAGCCCTTACCAGAACAGTGGGTACCTAGGCCAACTTTAGGCCCCCGGTGTGTCTCTGGACCCATCGGGGCAAGTAGCTGTGGTCTGTGAGCAGAGGTAACATCTAGTTCTTTGACTGGGCCTTGCTCTTACAGGATCGTCTAGCTGCAAAGAGTGCCACAGGCCCCTGTCCGCAGGGAGATGTGAGCATTCATTGGTTAACCCAGTGATTAGACCTTCCCTCTCTCCCCTCTCCCAAACCCACATGCCTCACCTCTTCCTGCTGCCTCTCCTGTTCTTAGATCTGGTCTTGAAAGCCTCTGCTGGTATCCAGCCTCCCCTGCTATCGAGGCTCAGTGTCCAGTGCTTACCTCCCCCTCCAACCACCCGCAGTCCAGAGGCCTGGCTGTAACCGTCCTACCTTCCTTTCCACCCTCCCTCCCTCAGTTCCTCAGTCTCCCGAGGTCACAGCCGCATCGCTCGCCTCCCTGGCAGCACCCTGAAGAGGCCGGCTGGGCCACTGGCAATTCCAGGTGACTGGCATTGGGGACAAGGATGGCCTGGGCCATGGTGGCAGATGAAGATAGGAAGACAGAGGGGACAGAGTAGGCTGAGACCCAGGAAAGAGGAGGCCTGGGGTATGTCCCCTCATCTTGGGGACTCTGATGAGTGAAGTGGGAGATGGGATGGTGGCAGAGGAGCAGTGAGGCAGAGTCTCACTCTTCTCCTTCCTCCCTGCGCCTGCATTCTAACAGGCTTGCAGAGCCTCCCTCAAGTCCCCGCTGCCCCGGTGACCTGAGAGGCCGAAAGGAAGTCATTGGGGCTGGGGGAATGGTGTCAGCTGGGAGCTACATCACCAAGGTGTCCTGACCACCACTTCCTCCAGGCTGGCTGCCACCTGCACCAGGAGCCTGAGCAGCTTTCCTTGTCATGTGATGAATGCTAGCACCTTTCCTGTACCGAAACCCTGCCCCCAACCGTACATCTTGCTACTCGGCCTCTGTCAATTTCTTGTTACGCTCAGCTTCTCAGCATGTATATAGCCACCTGTGAATGTCAACGTGTTGCTATTTAAAAGGGTGCTGTCATGCCCCCCCCACCCCCGTTTATAACGCCCTCCATGCTGGTAGGTGACTCTTCTGGGCTCTGTCCCTCACCCCTGTCTAATGCAGGGCTCTGCACAATGAGGGCCACAGGCAGTAAGGAGGGATGAGGACGGGATGGCACGTGGTCAGGAGTCCCAGCTTGGCTCTTACTGATTTCCAAGAGAGGGTGTCTTCAGGCTGGTGTAGGAACCCTGGCCCCTGGTGGCCATCCTGGTGATGCTGCAGATGATGGCGATGACTTGATTTCCAAACAAAGACTGCTTTTGTTGTATCCTGTTGTGAACAGCACACGCATTCAGCATGTAAGGAAGTGGGAAGAAAGGAGAATTCAGCCTTAATGCTATCACCTACTTACACATACTAGTGGCACTGGGCCAACCAGGGCATGGTTAAAGTGGTTACATCCATGTGGCCAGCTGTGTGGTTTGAGTCCCAGACCTGGTAGATTGAAAAACACACCAGGTGTGTGTGTGTGTGTGTGTGTGTGTGTGTGTGTGTGCGTGTGCGCGAGTGCCAAAAATCTCAAGAGAATGGAGAAGAGATTGTGGTGTGGCCATCCACCCTGGGGATGATTTCTAAAAAACAAAAAACTTTGATATATATCCTTCTGATTATTTCTCCATATACACAAACGTGTATATATACATATATATAGATAGATAGATATATTTTTATTATGACGATTAATAAACTGTCTCCATCCCTCGTGTGTGTTTCTCTCTGTACACATCAGTGGAATAGCAACTTACCACTCTCCAAAACGTCGGGGAACTTTGGACACAGCGGACAACTGCTGTGCCTCCCCCCTGCAGCCTGAGGTGGACCTGGGGCCTGGCCCTGTCCTGTACTCCACAGCCCAGCCCTCCACAAGGGCCTCTGCTCCTTGGCAGGTTTAGAAGCAATTACACCTACAAGTCTGGTCCATCCTTCTGCAGCCTTGAGGGTGGGCTGCTGGGAGTCTTGCTTTCAGAGAGAGTGTTAGTGGTCCCCAAGTCTTAGGGGATGCCCTAGCTTGAGCCCACTGCAGCCTGCTCCTGTCCCCTCCCCGGTGCATGGCCTTTGCTCATCTGGATTATATGACAGTCAACACCTATTTTCCTCTGTTCTCTCCATGAAGACATGGTTAACTGAATGAAGGAATAGTGTAAACAAAATTACAGAAATCAGTGTTTGACCTGCTTCCCAAAACCAACATGTTAAAGGTATTTAGCACACTGTGAGAAGTGTGTAAATACTGCTGCTAATTTCAAGTGGGTCCTGGCTGTCCTGGGGGAGCAATCTCCCCCTCTGTTTTATGAGTCTCTCTCCACTTAGTCCCTATCCCTTTTGGAGGATGGAGAGGGAAAACACAGGAGCATTGAGTGTCTAAGGGTGCCAAGCACCTGCACAAAGCTCCAAGCCCTTATGACGTAGAGAACGAGGGAGCAGGCTTTAAAAGGTTCACACACATGCCCGGAGTTAGACAGCAAGTGATCTGGATCCACGCCAGGATCTGGTTCTTTGCTTACACCAAGCGGCTTTCCTTTGGAAGCAAGCAGACATCATTGCTTTCCGCGTGTCCAGGGTTCCCTCCTCTCCAATTAATCTTAATGAGTTTTTTCTCCTGTGTACCGTGATTCCCACAGAAGCAGTTACAGCTTCACATCTGTAGCCTGCAGCGGCCTGGCGTGGTGCCTTGACCTCGGAAGGCCTCGCTGAGTGTTGGTTGGATTCAAATGGAATAGCTTCCCCCATTTCCTGGGGCCCTCACATATATCATCTCCTTTGATCATCATCATCGTCCCCGCAAGTGCAGAGGCAGCAGGCACAGGGCAAGGTGGCTGGTAACTAGGGCCAGGAGGGCGACCTTTGCACAACGGGCTCCACTGCACGAGGCAGAACTCGCTTGGGCTGGGGGGCAACTGGCAAGTGGAAGAGGTCACTCTTGACAAGGATGTTCTGCAGCCTGCCACTCGCTCAGCAAACATTTGTGGCTCCGTAGTGCAAACTGTGCTCTCGGGTGACCCATTAAATGCACAAAGACTGCGTCGATGGAGTTAAGCACGGGTGGCTCCTGCCCTCAATCACGGGAGGTCGGGCTGAGAGAGCTCGCTGCATGGTGTCCGAGTGCCGGGAGCTGCCTGGCTGGTCTGAGCTTTGCAGGAAGCTGGCAGAGGCTGAGGGGGGCAGAGGCTGAGGGGGACAGCAAGCTGACAGCCAGCTCTCAGCTGACCTCTGTGGGCGGCGACGAGACTCTGAGATTGGATTGTTCTTACATAAAGAGAGTCATCCACGAGACACGGCAATCGATGGCTCCCTCATCCACTGCGGTCCAGCCTGGTCTAGGGCCCCCACCCCCTGCCTCATCCTGCCTCTTCCACCGCGGGTGGGGGCCCGGGCAGAGCCCTTCACTCCACTTCTATGAGCTTCGAAGTCCTCCCTCTCCAGGCCACCTTACTCATCTCAGTCCCCTCAGCTCATGCCTGGACCCCCACCCTGAGGTGCAAATTCGTGTCGCATTCACAGAACCAGACTCGGTTCCGGGAGCTGAAAACACAGAGAACAAGATAACGGCCCTTTCAGCAGGGAGTCGGGAGAGTACCTGTCCCTGTCACCTGAGCGTAAGCCAAAAGCCCCGTCAGTGTTGGTTCCTGTCCAGAGGAGACTGGGTTTTCTCCCTGGGTCTCTCCTACACCTCTTCACCAGCTTGGCCCCCACGGGGGAATTTGTCTCCGTCTGGGGAGCCTGTTTAGCAGCTTACAGGTCCTGCCTCCCGATTCCTGCTCTTCTGTCCCCAGACTCCTCCAAGAATGTTGCTTTGGCTCTTGGCTGTATCTGGGAGACACTGGTTCCCAGCCAGAATCTAGTTCAGAGCTGTTGGCCCCTCCTCCACAGTTCTCGTGTGGAGAGAGATCCAAGAGGGCTTGAGATGAAGATTGTAGGGGGAGGAAGGTCACCCCAGGGGCCTGGAGACTGTGGTCGAGTTTTCTGGCTCACCTCAAGGACTCCCCTAGGCTCGGCCACAGTCCTCCCAGCCCTGTCCTCTGGCTTATCCTGTCCATTTGGAGGACTGCTGGGTTGGAAATAACAGGCCGCCTGCCAGCCCTCTGCTCCCACCAGGGCCACATCTGGTCCCCGCCTCTTGCCCTCCCAGAGGGACCCAATCAGGCAAGAAGATGAGGGAGCGGGGAGCAGAGCACATCAGGGAAAGCAATTAAAAAGCCCATCTCGGGGTTAGAGGCTGGGAGATGGGGGGCAGGCTAGAGCGGGCCTCTGCTGGGGTAGGAGGAAGGAGGGAGAAAGGGCCCCAGCCTATTAACCCCAACACGGCTGGCCAGCCCGCCAGGGTCTGTGAAGGTGAGTATGCAGGCCGAGCGGGGCTGGGGCAGAGGAAGGGAAATAGTCTGGGTGTCCAGCTGGGAACCGTTCTGCAGCTCAGGAGCAGGTTTCTAACCAACAGAGCCTGGCTGGGCACAGGGTGAGGATGCGGGAAAGGAATGAGCCCCCTCCAGCTGAAGGGGAGACATCCCCATCCTCAGAGAGCCTTCCTCCTGACAGTGAGGCACTGGCTCCAGCATTTGGGAACCCTCATCTGAGAGGGAAGGAGGGCTCCTCTTGTGCATTCCTTAGCCTGGGGGGCAGGCCCTGTCCTTAGGGAGACCCCACTCTGATGGGAAGACATAGGTCCTAGCAGCAGGAGCCCCATCTAGGGTGGTGGCAAGATAACAGCCCTTCTCTTTGGGAAGCCTCAGGCAGAGGTGGTGCAGGTGAGACCCACACCCACCAAGGGCTTCTCTCTCCGGACAGTGCTGCGGCCTTGAGTCTAGAGACGAGGAAGACAAAGACGAGGGAACAGAGCAGAGGGAAGCCAGCAGGCCAGGAACAGGCTCCACACTGAGTCTCCAGGGCAGCGGGAGAGAATATGTCCCTGGGGGACCTCAAGCTTCCAGTGACTAGTTGGTCAGAGGCAAATGGTGATGATGCTCACCTCCTCTTCACTGGTTGCTGCCCCTCTGTCCTGTCCCCACTGCCAGGCAACTCACATACTCCCATGGGGATTGACAGGACAAGGCAGGGGCCCAGACGCAGAGCGGCAGTAAAACCCAGGCTTTGCGAGGTAATCCCATGTGGGAAGGCTCCTTGTTCACAACCAGAGACGTCCCTGAGGGTCCAGGCACACGTACACCATGACTGGGATGGAAGCTGAGGATCACAGCACCAGGGCCCTGTGGAGGGTTCTCCCTCTCTCTTTCTCTCTATCTACCTCTATATATTATTCATGGGACAGATAAATAAATAAACTCTAGAAAAATAAATACGTGAACAGGACACAACAGCGTTCACCCCGAGACGCAACACCCTACCCCCAGGGCCAACCCCAGCACACGTGAGCTAACATGTAGTAACCGGGCATGCCTTACTAAACGGAAGCTGCGATTTGTCTAGTGCCTGCTCTCCAATTTTCCCTGTTTTTTTTTTTTTTTTTTAATATTTATTTATGTGTTTATTTGTTACTTTTATTTAATCTGATGAGAGAAAGAGAAAGTGAGAAAGCAAGATGCCAGGTCCAAGACTTGAACCGAGGTTGGCCATGTAGGAGTCCAGCACCTTAACCACCCACACCACCTGCCGGGCCCCAGTTTCCCCTGTTTGTATCCTCATGACTTGGACGTAGGTATAGCTAGTCCCCATTTGACAGATGTGAATGAGACTCAGAGAAGTTCCCTAAGTGACCAAGGCTTTGCTCTCTCTCCTAGAGAGCACTAGCATGCAGTCGGGACAAATTTAGAATAAAGTGCGTGATTCCCCTGAGTGATACAGATTTGGGTTTTAGAAAACCAACCTACAGCTGAGACCAGCCCCTCCCTGCCTCTAAACTGCTCTGGCCAACGGCCACAGGGACCTGGGAAGCTGAACACTGCCATCTGGTGGCCACTGTGTTCCCTTCCTCTCCTCAGGGTGGGCTATGGGATGGATGGACACTGTGGTCACCACGGGGTCAGTTAGAGAGACCTGGGTTCCTTTCATCCCACCCAGCTTGCTGACCACCACGCTGTGCACTAGGTGAGGGTCTGAGGCACGAGCAGAGCCAGCAGGCTGCAGTCAAGTGCCACACTGGTCACTTGAGTCAGAGGCTGGCGTATTTGGAAAGTACCAGGCACCTTGAACGCAGGCTGAGGTCAGTTGTGGGGTGGCTCTGACCCAGCAGGCAGGAGCCCATCTGGCAGATTCTGATGCAGTGAGGGGCACAGAGAGGTCAGCTTGTCTCCACCGAGGCTCCAAGCAGAGTGTAGCCTGCTACAGGCTCCTCAGAGGTGCCTTCGGGTATCTCTTCCCATGGCCAGCAGCATTCTGGGGTGTAGTCCAGAAATTCAGCCTGAGACTTCAGAGGTCAGGGCCTTCCAGAAGGAGAAGAGGAGGCACCCCAAAGAAAGGAGCTGAGCTGAGCTAAGAGGATAAGGTTGGTGGAAGCTGGAAGGGCCGAGGGCCTGCCCTCTCTGTTGGCGGTGCTTGCCTGAAGCAGAAATGCATCCGAGTGTGGCTGAGAACGGAGAACAAACTGTCCAACAACGGGACTCAGTTACGTGAACGCACAGAGTGGAAAACCATGCAGCTGTTAAAATGATGATGTAGATAAATATTTATTGAAATGGAAAGATGTTCACAACATATTGTCGAGCAAAAAAAAAAAACAAATTACAAAATAATTTGCACAGTATGAACCCACTTTGAAAAAAAAAATAGAGTTTATCTGTGTGGAAAAATCTGGTAGTGTTTATCTCCAGGTGGCAAAATTATGGTTAATTAAATTGTTTGTATCGCTTATCTATATTTTCTGATTTCTCTACAATAAATACGTAATTTTTAAAATAGTGAAAGCTTGAAAAACAGCACAGCCAGTCTGTCTCCTCTTTGGTTCTCTGTAGACACATGTAACTTCTTTAGATGGTTAAAGGCTGGGCCAGCTGATGGCATGGTGGTCAAGGCAGCTAGTTCGCACATGGCTGACTATGTGGTTTGATCCTGCACTTGGCAACTTGAGGAGCACACCAGGCATGTGTGTGTGAGTGCCCAAAACAAATGGAGAAGAAGGGATTGCAGTGTGTCCATTCCCTATGAGGGGTGCTTTCTCTGTCTTTCTGTCTCTCTCACAGCTAGCGCATACTCCCCCTGGCAAATTAAAGAATTATTTCATTTTTCTTTCTTTCTTTTTTCTTTCTTTCTTCTTTCTCTCCCTCTTTCTCTCTCTCTCTCTTTCTTCCTCTCTCTCTCTCTCTTCCTCTCTCTCTCCTCCTTCTCTCTCTCTCCTCTCTCTTTCTCTCTCTCTCCTCCTTCTCTCTCTCCTCTCTCTTTCTTTCTTTACTTAAATTTGACCAGAGAGAGACAGAGCAAGAGAGAGAGAAAGGGAGTGTGAGAAAGCAAACCGCCAGGTCTGGGGCTAGAACCACAAGTCAACCATGTGGGAATCCAGCGCTCTTAACCACCACACCACCTGCCGCCCCCTCCTTCCCCTCTGGCAAATTAAAAAGAAAAAGAAAAAAGAGGGGTCGGGAGCCAGCCAGTGGTGTGGAGCTTAAAGCAGTTGGATCCCAAACGACTAACTACAATTTGAGTGCCAGATTCAGTGCCTTGTGGAACATACCAGGCACCTGTGTGTGCATGCCCAAAATCCCAGGGGAGAATGGATGAGAAGGGATGGCAGTGTGGCCATCTCCCCACTGGAGTGCTTTCTCACTTTCCCTCTTTCTCTCTGTTTCTCTCTGGCAAGGGCACATGTCATATAGCAAATTAAAAAGAAGGGGGCCGTGCCAGCAGATGGCATGGTGGTTAAGGTGTTGGACTCCCACGTGGTTGACCACTGTCCGAATCCCAAACCCAGTGGCTTGAAACTCATGTTAGGCACATGTGCATGCATGCTCAAAATCCTGAGAATGGAGAAGAAGGAATTGTGGCACAGCCATCCCCCTTTGGGGTGATTTCTCACTTACTGTCTTTTTGGCGAGTATATGCACCCTAGAGCAAACATCGACAGAAAAAAAAAAAAAAAAGATTACAGGTTCAATGTGGGCAGGGTCTGAGAGTTGGGTGGAGGTTGAAGATGAAGCTTCAGTTGGTGACAGGGGCCTAGGCAGGTGGCCAAGGGGCAAAGGCCGGGGGATTCCATGTGCTAGCGCTGAAACAAATCTGTAGCTTACACACACAGGGGCAATTCACTGAGCGTCACAGACAAGCCCCTCCTGCCCCTGTCCTGTCTTTTCTCTCTAGGACTGCTTTGCTAGTCATCTTTACCATCTTTGCACTAGTCAGGGGAGAGAGAGAGAGACAGAGACAGAGAGGGAAAGTGAGAAATCACCCCCTCCTGGGAGGGGAGTGGCCACACCACAATCCCTTCCCCATTCTTCTCTCAGGATTTTGGGTATGCAAAGCCACCAGGTCTGAGACTCGAACCATAGTAAGCCACGTTAGAGTTCAGCACCTTAACCACCACGCCACCTGCTGGCCCCTCAACCAGTTTTCATTTAAACAGAAACGGAAGACAGCATAGCGTGATTTGCTGGGCAATCTGGGGGAACCATTCCTAGCCACAGAAGTGAGAGCTAGGACAAGGGTTCATCCTTCAAAGCCCCTTATTCTTCCCCAGTTTCCCCTCCCAAAGCAGGCTCAAAAGTCACTGGGCACTTATCCTCAAGATTCCTCTCCCTACGTCACTGCTCAGGCCCAGGGTCAGATGCAGCTAGAGCCTAAGGGGATCTCACCGCGCTCTGTGCTGGGGCTCACAGGGAAACCGTGAAGGAAGAACTTACCTATCCCTGGTGTGGAGTAGGAGGTGTGGCTCTGACAGGAGCTCAGGGCCAGAGCTGGCTCTGAGCTGCGGAGGGGGCGAACAGCCAGGCCTTGTCTGCAAGCTGGAGACCTGGCAGTGCTGGGCTGGCCCCCCAGGGCCTGCTCCTGGTGCCCACTGAATGACTCACCATGGCACAGATACAAGGATCAGGGTGGGCACACGGCCTGCTTCCCGCTTCACCCCAGCCCCCCTCAGACACTTTCCGAGAAGCCCATTGAGCTGGGGGCTTGTGTTGCACCCGGCCTGACAGCCTGGCATCTTAGGATAAAAGCAGCACAGCCCCCTAGGGGCTGCCCTTGCTGTGTGGCGCCCTCACCGGCGGTTGAGAACAAGGCTCTATTCAGCAAGTGCCCGGGAGAAGGGTTCAGAGGCCCAGGCATGGGCAGTGGGTGGTGCGCAGGGAGGGGGAAGAGGAGGGCTATCTAATTCCCGGAAGTCCAAGGACACAGACGGGTGAGGGGCCTGCGTGGGGCTCTGACCCTGTGGGATCAGAGAGGAACAGGCAGAAGGACCTGAAGTCTCAGGGACAGCAGGGCCCAGCAGCCCCAGCAGCGCCTGGGCTCCTAGACCCAGCTATGTCCAGTGGCTTTTCCCACCTTCTCAGCCTGATGTGTGGGAACTTGAAGAAGATAAATCTGGTGAGAAAGTGAGGGGTGGCCACAGAAACAGGGTGTGTGGGAGGAAAGATCCGGGCTGGCACGGCCAGCTCATTCGTAACTGCTTTGTGGAGCTGTCAGGCCAGGCTCTGGGAAGGGGTACAGGGAGGCCAGAAAAAGGAGGTGAGCCGGCGGGCAGGAGTGGATGCAGGGGCTAAACAGTCACAGAGAGGACCAGAGCATGCCTGCCCTGCCAGGACCCCCACACAGTCCTTTTGTCTCCCCCAAACACATACACACACCCCACTGCTAGAGTCCTGACTGACCCTCCAGACAAAAGGCTGGCAGGTCTCATCCCAGCCCCAGCCCCAGAACTCCGGAGATGGGAAGAAAACAGGAATGTGGGACATCTGTATTCAGAGGGGACTCCAGGAACCTGCGGGGAGTGAGGCTCGGAAGGAAACTAGAACACAGGCTGTTCCGTGGAGTATGCAACAGGTTTGCTCCTCAACCAGCCCCCAGCATCTGCAGGCACCTGAAGGAGGAGTGGAGGACGGGAAGGTCTGACTCAAGGATCTGAGCTGGAAGGAAGGTCAGAGGTCATCTGGTCCAGTCCTTTCTTGACTCACCTTCCTAGAGAGAGGGTCCCCTTGCTCAGCAGTCAGGGCTCCAGACTCAGCACTGGCCCAACACCACTCGCCTCAAGCCGGGGCTGGCCTGCCCAGGCAGCCCTGCCTCTGGACACAGTAACCTCGATGGGGTGAGAGAAGCTCTCCCCGTGGCTGGGCTGCAGCCCAGTCCCACCCCTTCAGGCTATGCCAGGAGGTGTTGCCCGGGCAGCCTGGGCAGTGCCAGTCCAGCCCACTCCTCCATAAAGCCCACACAACCGAGCAGCGAGCAGAGTCAGGCAGGATGGAGAGGAGACGCACCACCTCCGCGGCTCCCCGCTCCCACATCTC